AATGTCATCACTTCTATACATCAGTATGTCTTCTGGAGACCCAGGAATTCACTTCCAGTAGATTCAACTCTTACAGTCATGTTTGTGTAGCAATTTTTCTATTGGAAAACTGCTTGATATAAGAGAATACTACACTTCACTCTGCTGCACTGTACATATTTAATTATGAAAGACAGAAAGGTGACAATACCGGTGCCTGGGTTGTTTGTTTTGACTGCTACAGTAGAATAACAAACGGATTTTGCATCAAATTCAAGTAGCTTTTCTCCTGCCTGCAAAGTCCATTGTGTGCAGTTTTATTTATTCAACATATCATACAACATATTTCCCTGAAACCAGTTCATTAACTGACGAAAAGTATGGTTTAGGTGTGCACGCTATCAGCATACTTGCTGGCTAGTGCACACTTTGTATTGTCATGTTACAATTCTGAATAAATACAACATATTTTGCTGAAACCAGTTCATTCACTGACAAAAAGTAGTGGATGCTACCCGGTCTTTGAAACGCCAGACCGTCAAACTCTATCTATGTTATTCTATCTGACTATATCAGCCAAATGCTGTATGCTTATGTGTTATTTATATCTGTTATTGTTAGTTTTAATTTCCGTTTTTCAGTGTTGACGTGAAAATTAGCATCTTGCTAGAGTGCGACACCACTGTGTCTTTGTACTGTGTCATTGTTGCCTAATAAAAAAAGTTGCTTGAGTAGAAACGGGTCCTTGTACATATGAGACAACATATGGCTTACATCATCTGTTCTGTAGCCATGACCTCTGACCTTTGGGTCACCTCACAAGACAACCCTCTGTCACCACGACCTGACCCGACCTCTGACCCGGCGGCAGGCGTGACATCCTGACCTGTGGCTTGTTGTGGCGAGTGGACATGAAGCCGACACACATGCTGTCCGCCGTGTGACCCCACATGACCTCTGCGACCGGGCCTGCCTGACCTCTGACCTCCTCGCACCTGAGCACGAGAACTCCCCCGACCTTCCTCTCCACGTTCCTCAGGGCGGGAGAGTGCAGGAACTTGGACTTGAGAGCCTGGTCCAGGGAAGCGTCCCCCTGCAGAGCGGCTTCTGCGCACTCCTTCGCCAGCATGGCTTGCATGACGTGTTCCCCGCAGCCTGTAGTACTGCAGGCCACAGACAGGGGGCACCTCTGCTCCGCCCAGCAGCCGCAGCCAAACATGGCCGCGTGCCCCAGCCTGCCGGGCTGCTTCAGCGCCAGCCCGCCACTCGACACCGCCGCACTCACCGCCCCGCTCGTATCCATGGCAACAGCCCCAACTGTGTCCAATCGGATGTCTGCGTCGCACCTGTCCTGTACAGCAGACTCCGACTGCACCAATGACTGCTCGCCGCGATCGAACCTGCCCGTCCCAATCCCCGAGCTGCCACAAGCCTCTGCCTCACATCCAATGTCAGATATTGTCCCGTTTCTCCACAAGTTTCCATCTCTTCTAGTTTTACCGCCAAGATTCTGTCGGTTCTTTAAGAAGGTTCCATGGTGTTCACCTTGAAGGAACACTCCCTCCCCTTTAGTACATGTTCCTTTGCAATCTCCTTGACCTTGGACGGGTGCATGTGCTACATCCTTGGTACTTTCCTGTAAGACGTTGCCATTCCCTTGACCTTGAGCAGTTTCTCCATCCTTGGCAGTTCCTTGCAAGACGTTTGGATCCCCGTGACCCCAGTTCTCGGTCCGTGCCCTTTTCCCGGCACCTTGTCTGTCCCGGGGCGTCGCTCCTCTCCCGTGCTTCTGCCTCCTTCTCTCTGCAGCTGCCAGCCTCTCCACATACCTGACAAACACCCGGCTTTTAGTTCCACATTATAGAACAGGATTCTTTATTGACACAACAAAAAGTACAGGGACTTTTGTCTGGTCATCTACAACTAAAGATCTCACAAACTTAACATTAACACATGCACAAGTACACAAGGCTACAGCTTGCTGTCTGGCATAAAACCAAAACATACTATAATCTGTTAATGCGAAATGTGTGATTTCATGTATTTGTACATGTATCTAGTTATCGATTGTAACTCTAAGTTCTATAGCAGTTGTAAACAGCAAGTAAACTGTCATTGGGCAACAACAACAAAAAACTCTGGCCAAAACTTGTGAACCATGCAAAAATGTGGTTGCACTTCTTCCTGACTACTTATTCCTTCCCTTTCCTGGCCCATGTAGGGAAAAGAGTAGCAAACAACACATTCATGAAGAGCAAAATGAAATTTATAAAAAAGCGAGGCACAGAAATGATCCACCTCCGCACATCTGCTTGAAAAGCTCTTACCTCCTGTAGGTCGCAGCAGATTTTTCCGTGACCAGTTGTTTCCCATCAGCCTCTGGGAAGCCGCGCTGCAGGGCCCATCTCTCCGCCCCCCTCCCCACCAGCACGGCCGGCGGAACTCGACCCAAGGTCATCGGACCGGCCCACTGGTCCTCCAGGAGGGCACGCGCTGCCAGGACAGGATTCCTGAGGGAGCTTACTGCACCCAGCTGTAAGGGTATCAAATTACAATCAATAAAGTCACCCCTAAACATGCCACAATGGTCATCGGCAAGGTTGCTGGTATAGCCGCCTGTATCTGGATTATACAATACAATAGCTTAAAACTGCCCTTCAGCATACCATACTAGCTTCTGCATAGCCAGAATAACCAAGCTTTGGCATAACACACCAGCTTCTGTATCTGTATAGCCGGTATAACCGCCCTTCGGCGTAACACACCAGCCTCTGTATCTGTATAGCCAGTATAACCGCCATTTGGCGTTTTATATGACACACCAGCTTCTGTATCTGTATAGCCGGTATAACCGCCCTTTGGCGTATTATATTATACACCAGCTTCTGTATCTGTATAGCTGGTATAACCGCCCTTTGGCGTATTATATTACACACCAGCTTCTGTATCTGTATAGCCGGTATAACCGCCCTTCGGCGTAACACACCAGCTTCTGTATCTGTATAGCCGGTATAACCACGCTTTGGCATAACATACCAGCTTCTGAAAAAAATTAGGTGCACAGCTCCAATTTTGGGTGCACCAAGTTGCACAGGCACCCAGCTGTATTTCGAGCCCTGGATATTATCTCTATAGCCGGTATAACCATCCCTCAGCGTAACACCAACTTATGTATCTGCATGTACCCAGCTTCTACGTGTTACTACTAAAAGCTGAAGCAAGAGGCGTGCTTTAGAAAAAGAGAGAAGCTTTATAACTTGACAAAAGAGATCTAGACACAAAAGATACAAATGAATTCGTAAGGCCAGCTATCTTTGCCACAGGTAATAAGCACCTTACCGCGCCGAAAAGCCGGTTGTGCCCGTCCATGACGGCGGCGTCGCACTCCACGGTGCCTCCCAGCGTCAGGTTGGCCCCGGTCCCGGCGTTCGTGCAGGGCGAGTCCTCCAGCACAGCCACGGCGGCACAGGCGGCCTCCCG